AACTTAGTCTCTTGATTTCTTTTCTAATTTTTAATTGCCTTATAATGTTCTGAACAGAAATTAACATTAGCTCTAATGCTAATAAACATTAAGAGTGGAGATATACATTTCCTTTTTTGAAATATCAGTTCATTAATTCTAGAAATCATCATTATATTAGCTATTACTTGTATTAAAAATATCTTCAGGCTGTTAGTGGTGGTAATGGTTTTACTGTGGATGGAAGGAGGATGGAAGATCAATGTGAATCAAGAAGCAGATGGAGGATAACGTTACTAAGATTAGCTACAGAAGAAAAGCAATAAATAGCATCTGTATTTTCCATTTAAATAAAAATTGAATTACAGCACAATTCACTGCCTGTGTTGTCCCTGAAGCAAGACTTTGCATGTCAGCAAACATCTGAGCCTTTTCTGTAGGAAGAAATGTTAGCCAGATTGATAATTATGGAAGTGAAAACCATATCAGGAATATTAGATACAATTTTTATTTGCATGCATTATAAACATATAGTAAAATATAGAAGGGCAGCTGCATCATTTGCACAGGTCTAAATCATTGAAAGTTCTCACAAGACTCCTCAGATTTATTCAAATATAGAATACAATACACTGGGGACAAAGGATTAGACACATGATAAGGGCTGAATGGCTTCCTGGTACAGCTCCTCACAGTCCCTTTTTTGTTACATGACATGACTTTTTCTTAAATTGTGAATCACCAACATGAGTTGGAGGGATCTTTCTTGGTTTCAGGGAGCTCAGATGAAAGTTTTCAATAAATCACTGACCTTGAAGACAGAAGAAACTGTGTAATCCGTTAAACCAGTTTGTAAACCATTCATATGGTTGAACAACATAGACAAGCTAATTATCTGTGCCAAGCTGACTGAATCAAAATTTACAAGACACATTATAAAGCTTTAACTAGTTCATCTTGGCCTTACTTTGACCAAAGTCATTACTAATATTGACAAAGGCCAATACTAAACTCCCAGGAGTCCCAAGGATAAGCATAGTGAAACCCAGCCAAGTCTCAAGATAATTTCACATACAACATAACATGGTTTCTTAGACATGTACCTACGTCCACATAAGTAACACGAAAACCTCTGCCCTTGACTGTCTTCATTGTGTTTTGTATTCAATGAATACAGATATAATAGAGCCATCTGTCTAGTCAAAGAATGTATTGCTTCATTAGAGAAAAACAATAAATATATGAAATGGAAAAATATACAAGGCAGTCAATTGCTTTCATTGTTCTATTACTAAAGTAGGCAATAGTTGGTCCTTCATTTTAAATTATTATTGACTTAATATTTATACTAACTTGATTTTAAAACAAAATTATCAAAAGTGGGATCTGTGAAAGACTTTATTACATGAATATAGATAATTATATAGAAAATTCTTAACTAGGAATTTTTGTGTTTTTTTTTCTGGAAATGCTGACACATTAAAATTTTATTTTTTGATTCTCAACTGGGAATTGTGAAAATATTAGTTTGTATAAACTAATCAGAACTGATATAATTTCTTAATATCCTCTGAGGTAGAAAATTACTCTATACTCAAACAATGATAAGCAAAAAGTATTCTCAATTAAATACATACAGGTGCAAGGAAACTTGCAGTTCTGTTTCTAGAATGTCAGACACATAACAACAGCAGACATAAATACATATACAAAATGAATAGCAAGAATCAAAAGTGATCTCTTTCCAGAAGCTATAAAATATCTCTTAATAGTTTGTGCTCTCAGAAATGCAAATAAACTAAAAGGACATGAAACTGCACCCTGAATGCGCTTTCCCTCCTCAGAAAATAGATCTGATTATCCAAAATAGATAAACAGTATTTATATCCAACAACAATTCCCTGACAATGATATTACCAGTGGGGAATATCGTTTCATCCATGCACAAACTAGACTCAAACTATGAAAATGGCTCTTTCACGTATGCATTCAGTCCAGTGTTACTGATATTGGACACATTAGCCCTGGAATCTGATTGTGGTGTAGGAATTAGCCCAGTCCAAAGGTTAGCCAAGATATGAATGGAGCAAAGATTTAGATAAGAAAAAGAAATAAAGTTTAAAACTAAAAAATAAAAGGAATGGGACATGAAAAATGGAATCAGTAAAGGGAAGTTTTATTGTCATTAGAATTCACTTCAAGAGTCAGGATATATGTGCCTGGGCTTAAAGAAGCAATGAAGCAAACATCTCAAGCAACACAGTTAATTGGTCCCAGAGGGTGAGTCTTCTTGGACCCCTTGGAGAGACCTCCAGAGCTATGAGGGTATAATTTTTTTTTAGTGAGCATTTGTCAAAGATTTATTTAACTCCTTCATTAGTGAACCAGCAGGATGCAAAACTGGTTTCTACTCATTCATTGTTTCTCAATAAACCATGCATTTTCATACCTTATATAGCAGCCTTGATATTTTCTTCTCTGGGAATTGTCTTCCCTTTATTCTGTTTATTACACTCTCCCTTTTTAAAGGCACAAGACTCTCTCTCACCTACTCTTAATCAAAGTCACTGTGACTTTACTCATCAAGTGCCTTTACCACATTTTGTAATTGTCATTTACACCTTAGGTATGGCAGTTATCACTCTCTAAGGAACTCCCTTCTCTGTGTTCTGTAGTTTGTTTTTTGGTCCAAAATTGTGATATATATATATATATATATTTTTTTTTTAATAGGGCATGTTTTTATTTATTTATTTGTTTGTTTGATGGTTTGTTTATACATGCACTGGGTACAGTCAGAAGCACGGGAGGGTGAGAGAATTCACCAGAGCCAGAGCGGGGAGCAGGGCAGGCAGAAGGACCGAAGTACACTGCTGAGGGGAGCAGTGGGCGGCAGGAGAGGTCTGCGCGCCATGTGGGCCCCTCCTCCGGTGGCCGGGGAGCAGCCAGGGATCGAACCAGCGCTGCAGAGGCGGCGGGCAGCTTCGCAACCCAGCGCTCAACCGCTGCACCACCGGGGAGGCCCAAAATTGTGATATATTTTTTCTTGAACAAATTGGCTTAATATTAATATTAGGAGTTGTCAGGATTATTTGTTTGATAAAATTGTTGTGATGAAGCAGGTATTTAATGAGTGCTTCTTTGCAGTGTTCCACCTAGTGTACATTAATATACTTCCAAAAGAGAATGTGGATGTTGTAGTGATAGAAGGTTTCATGAGGAATTGACCTCAATCTAGAAAAGGGTGAGGATTTAAAGAATCAGGAACTACCTTCCAAGAGCAGAACAAACAAATATGCAGATACCTGGAAACTAAGGAAACCTAGTGGAAAGTGCTAAATGAATAAAGGATGTGTTGAAAGTGATGAGAATTATGATTGCAAAGTTGTTTCTCATGACTGAATGCTGGTCATATAGGCACCTATACTTTGAAGCTGACTCTGTGTAGTAAATTATGCTAGTCTTATATTCTGCCCAAATATGTTTTATAGCAGAAAATGGTGATTTTGAACAATCTTATCTTTTTGATTGTGGATATGTTTTAGAAAGTCAATATTTGAGTATGTTTTCTGATTCTTTTTATGACCTCAGTACTTTGATTCATAAATGGCTACTCCTCATATATAAGGTCTTTTTACTGACAATCAATAAGCATTAATTGAATAACTGCAATAGATTTGAATGAAATGACATGAAGGATCAAGAGAGTGGAGAACATAGCCCTTGCTCTAAAATAGCTTATAATGCAGTTGTGGAGCCCTGTATGAAAGTATTTATAGAGCCTACTTAAATAATAAATACTGTTGTGCAAACTGAAAGCACTATGGAAAGTCAGCAGTAGGAAAAATAATTCAAAGAGGATCTAAATAGACCACAGAAGACAATTCTACCATGAACCAATACTGAGCTGTTTCATGGTTGCCTGCATCACAAAATGGAACCATTCAGCAATCTCAGGAACCTAATTATTCTTGTTTCCCGAATGATGAAATTGACACTCAAAATCATTAGCTCTATCATTACTGTTCAAAGAGCATGAGTCATTAAAAATGAAATTAGGTTTTCTGACTATATTCCAAGCTCCCCTATTTTGCCTATGTTTTAAGTCTCTTTGTAACTTAAAAACCACAAGAAGCTGATCGTTTTTGACATAGAATATACAGTAGGAATGTCATTTTAAAGAGAGGGAAAATAGCAAAGAGGGCATTGAGACAACCTGAAGGTGATACCTGTTTAATAAAAATGAGCACTATAGTATTTCAGTTTTGGGGATATTTTTTATGTAGCCTGGAATTTATTCTGCCAAATAAACTAGCACAAAGGGCAAAGTCTTTCCTTCCATACCCACCTTATTAGAAGCAGAAACACCTTCTGTCTTAAATGTCAGCACACATTAACCCTGATGGTAGGGCAAACAATTCTTTTTTTCCTTAATTTTGAAACATCCTTGTTGGTTTTTCCCGAATGTAGGATTTCTTCCTTAAGATATGGTCACCAGGGCCTCCCCGGTGGCGCAGTGGTTGAGTGCTGGGTTGCGAAGCTGCCCGCAGCCTCTGCAGCACCGGTTCGATCCCCGGCTGCTCCCCAGCCACCGGAGGCGGGTCCCACATGCTGCGCAGACCTCTCCTGCCGCCCACTGCTCCCCTCAGCAGTGTACTTCTGTCCTTCTGCCTGCTCTGCTCCCCGCTCTGGCTCTGGTGAATTCTCTCACCCTCCCGCGCTTCTGACTGTACCCAGTGCTTGTATAAATAAATGAATAAATAAATGTTAAAAAAAAAAAGATATGGTCACCATAGTTTTCCCACCACCAAAGTGCCCACCACCCTCCATCACCCTCCACTTTATTCTCCTCCACTTTTTTATTCTCCGCACCGCCCCTCATGAATGTTTCAGGTTTATGGTTTAGTTTCAAGGGTGAGTCTTACAGTCAGTCAAATAATTCCTATAATGAAGATATAACCAGATAGTATGTTGTTGCAAGACCCAAGTCTAATCTCTGTAATCTGTTGTGCTCTTTCCAGGGCTCCCACTTGAGGGTCTTTCCTCATCTGGTATTCATCTCACCCCTTCTGAATGGACAGGCCACAGGTCACTTGACTACAGGTTCCTCCTTGTGTCCCACAAAGCCTGCTGTCCTAGGTGAACTTGAGGGAAGTAAGTAAAACACTATTCTAAGACTTTTATTTACTTTTGTTCAACAACCCTAGTAGGACAGTTTTTTGTCAACCTGTTTGACCAATGAGAAAGTAACAGAGTTCTTAATCATTGCGCACAGTTCTTGACACTTACCAACCACCACATCGTAACTCTCAACTCTTGGTTACTTCATATGACTCCTCATTTCCAGCACATGGACAGATGACCTCTGGTCCTCTAGGTTCAGCAGGAATATGGAGGTTTCTTTAATTCCAGTTTATGCTATCTGCAGACAGGTAGTACCCAGCTTTATCCTAAATATTCTGGTATGGAGAGTTAATTTCCTTCTTAAAGATGCATAGATATTGCACTTAAAGAAAGGGACATCAATTCATCTTGTTCATTTGATGTTGCTCCTCTTCCTTGTGTGTTAGCCATGGCCTTATTATGTTAAGAGAAATTTTGTCTTTCTCCTGGGTCTTCATAACCTCAGTGAATGAGTTCACAAGTGTTCCTCCTGGTAGCAGAGTGCAGTTTCTCAGAGCGTGGAAGAGAGAGGATGTGTATGCTTTTGTTGAATAGGAGACCAATTTGAAAATAGTAAAGTGTTTTTCAAGTGATATTTGCAAATTGCTATGGAGAATTTGAAAAATTAAGCTAATGAATTGAAAGCTGTTAGTTGAGTTGTTGATGAAACCTGAAAACTATGAGATAGCTTTAAATTTCTCTGCTTTCTTGTCCCTTTAATTTTACATGAAATATTATGAAATATGCCTCCAAAACATATCTGTCAAACATTCATCTCCTTCTTCACTTCCCCTAATTCAAACATCTGTTATCTGTCACATAGATAATTGCAATAACCTCATTTTTTTCTAGTGATAATATTTTATGAGAATCACATGAGTTGATACACATAAAACCCTGATATATATAATATGCACCCAATAATGTTCTCTTAACTAGTCTTTCTCTTTGTAGTTATTTTCATAGGATTCAGAGCAATCATTTAAATATTTAATGCATTTTAATTTTTATTCATGTAATATGGGTAGGTAGTTCAAAATGCAAGTTGTAATATAAGAGGGATACAATAGTCCAAGCCACAGTTTGCTATATCAGAGGTGCTGTTTTACTTTTCTCCATTTTTATGCATGCTATTCTTAATATTGAAACTCCTTGTTTTTTTTAATTTATGTATTTTCTTAATTTCTAATCAGTTAACTATGGCTTGGTTCTTCCACATCATTCCTCTTCCTCAATTTCTGTCACTCTAGTTCCCCAGATTTATTTAAAGATTAAATTTGTTATTAAATCTGTAATAAAAACTAGTCGTCTTCTTATATAGGTTTTGTTCACTAAAACAACATTTACCTGTCTCTATAATCCTTTATTTTTCCTGAATGCAATTAGGTATGTACTGTTTTTCTTGTGCCTGGTTTTCTTTGAAATATATTTTTCCTAAAATATCTAACACAAGAACCACATGCATATGTTTGTCAATGTTATTCCTACGGTTTGAAAACCCCTCCCTCCCTCCCAGAAAGGGACTGAGAGTGAGAGCTCTGTTGCTTTCCATAGACTCAATCCTGTGGCCCTCATTGAATAGGTTGTTCCCTAATTTTTGCTTCCATGTGCCTTCATACTAGAACTTTCTTTCATAATTCCCCTATGTTGGACTAACTTTTCCTAAATATAATGCCTTTTCCTCTTTTGTTTTAATTCTGTATTTTCCCTAGGAAACATCATCCATTAGCTTCCTATTAGAATTCTGAACGGCAGGCAACAATTTTGAAATGTGCATGTCTAAAAATGCATTAACTTTTTTCTCACTTAGTTTTTCTGGGTGAAAAATTGTATTCTTAAATAAAGCCCACTTCACATAGTATTTGAAGTTCTTTCTCCACCCTGCTATAGCTTCCACTTTTGATGTGATGATGCCCAACATCATTTTAATTGGAAAACCTTCGTTATGACTTGATTTTCCTCTTTACATTTGGATTCTTCACTTAAACGTGGCTTATTTTCTTTAGTTCTTGAATTTTGTATATCATTTATTTGATTATTTCCTCTTTTCTGTTTTCTATATTCTTTATTCATGAAATCAGGTTGAGATGGATGTTGGATTACTGTGTCTTAATCTTTTGTTTTCTTATATTTTCTTCCCTATTTGCCATTTATTGTCATTTCATTCTACTTTCTGGACATGATGCAAACTCTGTCTTCAGTGCTGCTTTAAGATTTCTTCTAACTTCATCTCTTCTAATTTTAATTCATATTAACATTTCTGATTCTAGTTTATTTTCTCTAGTTTCTAGTTTTTCTAGATTCTAGTTTCTTTTCTTTTTCTTTCTAGTTTCTACAGATAAATATTTATTAGGAATGAAAATATTGTTATTGTTTCACTGTGTTGACTACAGGAGAGGACTAAGAAATCTGGCTATTTTATATATAATCTGTTAACCAGTTTCTTTGTTTTGGTTCTTTAATTTCATATTGTTTCCTTTCACATGCAATTTGCCATCAATTCTTAAATAGTTCTTGAGTTCCATGGGGACATATTAACTATTTTCTTCTTATCTTTAAAGCTGGTTGTAGCTACTTCTGTTGTTTTCACCTATTACAGTATGTTGAAATATCATGCTTTCTGTGGTTGCCCCACCATTATCTTTGTTTGTGTATCAATTCCTTACTATCTCTTTTCCATCATTTTGGAATAGTTTTGTGATGTTATGGTATGGAGAGAGGAAGTGACTTTCCATAGTCACCCTCACCAGCTCATAGCTTACACTCCTTCAAAAGTTCTGGTTGCATTGTAAACATACAGTTATTTCAAGGTCCTCTTCATACCATTTAAACTAATCTCATACCTTACTTCCTTATACATGGAGTTCAATCATAGTTGATTATCTTTAATTCCTCAAATACCATGCATGCCATTCTCATGTTGTGATGTTTTTTGCATTTTATTTCTTTAGTCTGAAATGTTCTTCTACCTTCTCTTAACCAGAAATAGTCTTTCTTTCTTCATAACAAATCTAAGTTTCTTTCCATCTGAGAAGTGTTTTTTTTTTCCCCCACTGTTCACTTGTCACGTTAAGTGACCCATCTGTCGAATTTACCATACATATGGTGTGAGTGTATGTGTATGTATGTATGTGTGTGTGTGTGTGTGTGTGTGTGTATCAATATAGACACTTTGTCATTTGGTCCTATATATGTATTCAATGACAAGAAAATAAAAAACATTATACTGTTAACCAGATATGTAGTTTCAGTAGATATGTTGTTATATAAATTACAAAGCAGTGTGGAATAATGTTTAAAGGTATGAGATTAGTAGCTAGATGTGTGGGATTGAATCCTGGCTCTGCCAGTGCCCAGTTATATGCCTTTGGGCATGTTATTTAACTCAGTACATCGGTTTCCTCATTTGTAAAATGGGTCGAATAATACTACATAATCAAATCCAGCTTTGTAAAGGTTCTTTTATATGTTCTCATAAGTTGTTCCAGAAATGTAAATTAACTTTACATAATTTACAAATATGAAATTAAAGCATATGTGACCAGAAAAAAAATCATCCCTAAAGGATAGAAATTAAATAAGATTAATATCTAAGTATTAGTGTTGAATTGCATATAGTCTGTTTCTTCTCACATTCATGAAGTTCGTAATTTTAGAGATTTCTTTTTTATGTTAACATACTAGCATTTTATATAACAGATAAAATAAGAGCAGAGCTTTTAAGACTTAAAGCTTATGATGGCAATTGCATTTCTCAGCTGCACAAAAAGAGATCTCATATTTATTCTAATTTTCATGAAGAGGTAAATTGTAGGAAATATTGGAATGTGAATATAAATTCACGAGAAAACAGAAGCATCTCTTCATAGTTTTGCTTTTATTTCTTGGAAACATGTATACTTAGAAAACATATATTTGCATGAGCTAGAGAAAATATCAAGCCAAATACACTGCAAAATGTATTGAAGGGAAATGAAAAAGGAAGTGAAATATGAACACCACAGCCATTAATCATTTTTCTGATGATCTATATACCCCATCTGATTTAAAATTTTCCTTCTGCTAAATTCCCAAAATTATGACAATGCTCCCATAAGCCAACTATTTATTTTACAAATAAAAGCTTTACTAAGTATATTTGAATACGGTCATAATAGATCCTTAAAAAATTAAAATTTAGAACACTTTGTTTTGTTAGTGCTTTATTTGCATGTAATAATTTTCTGAAGTATCAACAGATTTAATTGTCTATGTGTTTCTAAGTTTAGAAGTTGGGTCTAGTTCATATCTTCCTATCCTCTACTACCTTAGCAATTAAATAGAACATAGAAGACACGCTCTTATCATCCTTGACCATTACCTTATCTGTATGCATTTTTTGGTCAAAAGGTTCAACTAATGCCCTTCAAATTTCCATTTGTTTTAAAGTTATCTTTAATATTGAGTGATTCATGTCCCAGAAGGACTACATCTATTCACAATAAGAATAAATGAGAATTATTTTATCAGGAAATTTAGGTATGTGAAAGGGAAATGTTTAGGTCAGTTTCCTCTAGTCATATACTTTGTATCTGTAGAAAAAAGTATACATTTTAGATTTCAGATTTGGAGAAAAGCTTTCAAGCTTAATGTGGTTTCTTATATTTATTTTATGTAAATACATAACTCATTTTACTCTTCCTTTTCTTGTTATTTGAGATACGCATTAATCCAGTAAGATGTATTGGCTTACCCACCTATTTTGAGTCTCCTGTTTCTTGACCTCCTATCAACATTTGGCATTGTTGAGCATCCCTTCCTTCTGGAAGCAGTTTCTCCTGTTGGCTTCCATGTTGCCAGACACACTAGATTATCCTTTTATGTGTCTGGTTGCTCTTTTAACATCTTCCTTTATGATTACAAGGCTTTAAATACTGAAACTCCTCTAAGTAAAGGCCTTAGCTTTGTAACATCATTCTATATATTTCCCTTAGGCAGTCTGCACTACTTCT